CCTTTTCCATTTTGATGTCCTTCTTCCCATGTACTATTAAGTACTAATAAGGTACTGTAAATTTGAGTGCCATCTGTATGGAAACAACTTACATTAATCAAATGGCTTCCTTATCAGGCAGCACCATCTATGTGGAATGTTTGTGAGAATTATAAGACATTAAATATGCAGAATGTCTTTCTCTAAAAGAAATTTTCTTTTGGATTATGGACATTCAATTTGGAAAACACGATATTAACCATCTTCATAGACCCATAACCAAGCAATAATTAAGTTTTCATGACAGCCAAAAATATTATAAAACTTGAGGAGATGCAAATGAGTAATCAACATCTCAACTCCTTTACTGCTACAATATGAAATCAACGATATCAGCTTCCGGATTAACAGTAAGAAATTTGAGTATAAGGAGTGCTAAAAAGACCGTTGATACTACTGAAGATTCTGATCTAGATATGTGCTCGGAGAATTGTACTGTCCGTCTACTGCACAAGGAACCAGTTTTGTTGCTGATATTTGTGCTAGCTGCTGTAGTGACCAAGATTCTTTTACTATAATGCATCCTCAGGACTTCCCTTTCAAAGATGTCTCTATTGATTTAGAGTTGAGGGCTGGATTTGTTTCAGCCAATTTTTTATTTCTGATCTTAACTCAATGAAGATCTTATACTTTTCCAAGCTTGACAAGCTGTAATTGGAGTAGAAGAATGTTGATAATTTTAGATATAACAGTTTCACTCCTATCATCTTCTTTTGCCTCCTGTCCATCATGATCAGGTAGCAATATCCTATCAAACTGCTGATCATCCCTAGTTCCAGTCTGAACTACATTGGATCTTCAAAACAAAACATTGAAGCACTTAAAGACTTTCCTTTTTAAGTACTTTCGCAGAAACTTAGAACTAAAAGATCTGTGATCATTCAGGCAACAAAGAACAGGTTTGGTTTCTTAAGCAGTGAGACACTTTTAAACAAGTATATAATTTTGAAAAAGGATTACAGAATTTAGTGACTTTATACAATATATTTCAAGAAGCCCACATAGGATATAATTCCAGAGGATGTGATAACTTCGGCCTCTTTGAGATCGACACTATCTTGAAAACAAAGGTAAACTAAAAATATAATCCCCTCCATCGTTGAGATATTCACCAAAATTTGACAATCCTCAGTTCTACGTACCAAGGAAAAGAACTCTTTCTTGTTTCTGAATGCGATTTTGGATCTTCACTACCTCTCCGGACAGATAATCCCTATGTGAGCTTGATCACAAGGAGTGAAGCAGAGCAATCACAGGGTTCTCCTCCATCACGACAGGTATGTGATGAATTATAATGCCTAATTTGGATCTTTATTTTGTATTCAACACCACTCTTTACTCGTTTATATAACAACATATAAACAAGCATCCGATACCCTTGAAAACCAACATTGACCTGAAGTTTATACGTCAAACTGAAATCAATTCCATGGACCTGGACTGGGGTGTTGCTGATGGACCAATCTCCGTCCTTGTTTTCTGCGGACAAAGAAATCATGACAAGTTATCTTCCATTTAACAGACAGAATTTACATAAGCAATAAATGCAAAAGTAATCAAACCATGTCAGCCACTGTGTTTTTCCAAGCCTTCTCCATCTCATCAAAAACAACATCAATTGTTGGCCTGCCTCTACTTGATTTGGCACCACAGAGAACTGCAATTTGTAGGATGGCTTCAAAATCTGATCTATTGAGATTCCCATGCAGCCTTGGGTCTTCGAAATCTGTTAATGGACGTTTTCCCATGCTCACGTCCTTTGCCTACAGGAAAACTCAAATTATTTACACGATGTTTTTACATATTATTGATCAAATCCGAAGAATTGAGAAAAATAAGTACTTTTCGTGTCAGTTGTTCACTGGCATCAAGATCCAGATCAATAACTTTCTGTCCAGACAGAAGTTGTAAGGCAACAATTCCAAAGCTGTAGATATCACTGGCACAGGTCAGCTTTGCGTTGCTCATGTACTCTGGATCCATATAGCCTATAGTTCCTCTAACATCTGTGAATACTTTGCTCTCCTCCATTCCCAGCATCTTTGCCAAACCAAAATCCGAGAGCTTGGGCTCCAAGTCTTCAGTCAAGAGGATGTTTGTGAGCTATAGACAAACATTCAGTTGAAAAAAAAATTAAACAAGAATTAATTTTAAGAATTATAGACAAGGTCAATGGCATATGATCTATGTTACCTTGATATCTCTATGAACAATGCATCCATCAATATAATTGTGGAGATACCTCAGCCCAAGTGCACAGTCTCTTAGGATTTTAACTCTTCTTTCCCATGGCAAGACGCGGTCTTTCTCTGCAAATGAAACATAGTGTGCAGCTTAAAACAACTAGAAAAGAAGACAAGGGATGGTATTTTCATGCCCCAGATGGCCAGGACACATCTCTGAACTGAAAAGTGAGCAACATGTAATGGCTCAGGAAAATTACTTAGGAGATGCTGAGCAAGATTTCCTGCAGAACAATATTCGAAGACCAAATACTGCTCGTCGCCTTCAATACAGCAACCAAGCAGAGAAACAAGGTTTGGATGTCGAACCCTGGAAAGACCTGCAACTTCCCTAGTAAAAGAATCAGAGCAGTTGCTTTTATATATCTGCTTGACGGCCACAACTTGTCCGCTAGGCAGAACGCCTTGATAAACTTCACCAGCACTTCCTCTGCCTAAACTTTTTCTTTTATAGTTGACACTTATAGCATTCTCAATCTCAACCTTGGAGAACCGGTAGAGACCGGACCATGTAGTGATGTCCTTGGATGGAATAGGTTTAGGAAGTTTTCTGTTGCTCTTGCGCTTCCTTAAGTTCACAAATTTTACCAAGACAAGGATCAGAATTAGTACGATGATTGCTATAAAGACTGCCAGTAGTGCTTTTGCCAGGGGCCCTGATAAATGATTTCTGTGACCATATGAGGTTGTAAAGAAAAGAAAATGGAAAGACAATAATTTTTCAATGGTAACATGCCTCAAACAGAATCAAATCAGCAGCAAGAGATGGAGATAAGCACTTCAACTTACTTTTCAGTCTGATGTAGCCTGAATCTGTCAGGCAAAGAAGAGAGATCAAGGTCAGGATAGGGAACCTGAACATAAGGCAGAAGAGGTTCTACTTAAGTTCTGGTCCTTACCAAAATCATCTAAAGAAGACATACAGCTAAACAAATTTGCACCAAAAGAGCTATCAGTAACATTTGCAGCTGCAACGGAAATAACAACTGCTAAATTACATATTGTTCTTTCAGTATCATTTTGTTGCCCTTGGATTAGCTGCAATAGATTCTCCACTACCATTGCTATGGCATCAGTGCAATTTTTGCAGGTATTCTCAAATGAAGAATTTAAGTTAGAACATAAGTCTGCTGCTTGTGGGTAAAATGGGTTGCGCTGAATTTGTGATAGAGATAGGCTGGAGCACTTGCTACTGCCAGAGTAGAATTGATCAAATCCACAGGAATGTATGGAAACTGATTCTTGGTTTGAAAAAGGAGAATCACATTTTCTCCAAGAATCTTGCTCGATGAAGATACTACTCTCTTGTGTCTTCTCAGCGCGAACTGCAAGAACTTCAGAGAAGGTATTGAGGGCGTTTTGACAGCAAAGAGTTGAGGGAATACTGCCCCATAATTTGACCTTCCCGTTTCCATGAATGCAGTTGCCACTTGGTTGGTAAGGGTATGAAGAGAAATCCAAAACACAGTCTGCATCCATAGGGGACTTTGTCAAAGCTAAGATAGAAACAATGGCTTTCAAATAGTATGCAGAATTCAAAACACAAAGCACTTTAATTCTCATTCTCTCAAATCATCTTAGTAAATATTTGTCATTATCTTCAATTAATATTTGTTTGAGAAATAAAACCCATGTGCATAAAATGTCTAATTCAATCACAAGGTGCACTCAGGTGAGCCTAAACTGTTATATAGAAGCTAGAGTGAAGGATAGCTCCAGAGTAAACGAAAACGTGCACAACAGGCTCAAATCCAGGACTATAAGAAAAAGTGAAAATTCATTTGAAACAAAAAGGACATGGATTAAATAGAACAGAAAAGAAAAAGAAACCTGCAGAATCCGGCGAAGGAGAAGCAAAATCAAAGGCATAAAAAAAGAAGCTGCCAATGAAGAAGGCAGCAAGTTTTAGCCAAGGATCAAGTGTTTTCATGTCCTTTTCCTGCTATATCAGACACTATAAGGATTATGCCATGAAGAAGAAAGAGTTATTTACAATCGTGAAAGCGAAAAGCTGAAATTTTCCGTTGGAGAAAACCCAACTGTTTATTTATAGAAATTGTTTTCCTAGTGTCTATCGTTTATAAAACTGGATATTCTTGAATGTTGGCTGGGTTCTTACAGCTAACTTACCAGCCTAGATATTGTCATCAATAAGTATTTTTTTGAGCATATATCTACAATGGTGTTCTCAACGTACTTAAATAACAAGACAACTGTGGTTTAAGGTGAAGTGCTAACAAAATTCCCTTGATATTGACTCCCATTTGAAGATTTTTACGTATGCAACACAGTGAATCCAATCATAGACTCTTAAATCACATCGCCGCATCCATTGATCAACCTGACGGTTATGGTACTACTTTATTATCAACTTCTTGAAATCCAAGAAACAAGGGTCCATAGTCAACATGATTTTACATAGTGTAGTAAATTGTTAATCCCTCATTCATTAAACCTGATGTTTCAAAGATTGCAGCCAAAAATTGGCGTTTGCGAATTCAAGGCTTGTTAGTTAAAGGGATCATTCTATATCACTTCAGGTTACATATATATACATATGGTTTTGGTTTTAATTGCTTATGCTGAGAATCAAATTCAGAAAATGTATAAATGCAAGCACTTGTACGTATGAAAACATTTTTTGATCATATATCTAACAATTAAATACAAAGATTTAAGAATTTCCTGGTCAACGAAAAGGATCCGATTTCATATTGTTTCTATTTTCTGATACATATGATCTTAGACTATACAATGGAATCTCGCCATCTCACATTTCATAAACCCCACCAGTCTCTCTGATTTTGTATATGCTGCATAATCTTGAAATCATGTACTTCTTCCTGCACTTGCCAGATTCATTTGTTTCAAAGATGGTAATTAGGCAATCGGATGTTCCCTCGGTTTCTTCTCTTGACAGTTTAGCTTTTGTTTATCTGACTTACTTTCTTTGACATCAACAAATGGAGGTATCAATAAGAATCTAGCATAACGAACCCAATGTGCTATTAATGTTTGAGTCCTTCCTGAATTGATTGCTCAAATTTTAAGTACCATAAACAGAAAACAAACTGATCCTAGTAACAATCATCCCAGGCTGCATTTCGATGTCAAGACGTTGGGATATGGTACATTTTTTGCAGTTTGAAATGTTTTTACTTGGTAGAAGTATTAGAGATTGATCATAATTCAATCTAGATGCAGAAAGTTAAGGCATTCCTAGTTAATTTAATTCAGTAGAAATTATTGGACATCAGGTTCAACATGTTCAAATAGCACAGAGACAATTGAAGGTGGTCTTGGTCTCTCTCTCTCTCTCTCTCTCTCTTCTTTTTTTTTTAGTAGTTAACAATATTAATTTTTCATATTAACATCATTTATGTTATCCCCTACTACTTTCATCTTTTTAGTTTTTTTCTTTTCCTCCTTGAGTTTTCAACGCAAACGCTAATGCAAATCCAAGTGGATCCTCAAAGCTGATATGTCAAGCTGATATCATATCCAAAGATGCGGAGGTGGGTGTCTCTGATGAATGTACTCCTTTCTTTGCTCCCTGCACATAATGGAAAACAGAACATTTCAAGCCTCCATGCAAGATACTATCATGTACAGAATTAAAAATTTAAAAAAAAAAAAAGAGTCCTTAGATGTGAAAGTGACCAAACCATGTCAGCCAAAGTGTTTTTCCAAGCCCTTTCCATCTCATCAACGACAACATCAGTGGTTGGCCGGCCTGTACTTGATTTAGCAACACAAAGGACTGCAATTTGCAGGATGGATTCAAAGTCCACCCTGTTGAGATTACCCTTTAGCCTGGGATCTTGAAAATCTTTTAATGGACGTTTTCCCATGCTCACATCTTTTGCCTACACAGAATCGACATCAGTTAGTAATAAATTCTTTTTGGTCAACTCTGAAGAATTAGAAAATAGAAAGGGCAACGGCTGATGAGTACTTTTCTTGTGAGTTGGTCACTGGCATCAAGATCCAATTCAAAGACCTTTTGTCCTGACAGAAGCTGCAAAGCCACAATACCAAAGCTGTAAATGTCACTGGCACAGGTTAGCTTGGCATTCGTCATGTATTCTGGATCCAGGTAGCCTATGGTTCCTCTAACATCTGTAAACACTTGGCTCTCTTCCATTCCCAGCATCTTAGCCAGCCCAAAATCAGACAGCTTGGGCTCAAAATCCTCAGTCAAGAGAATGTTAGTGAGCTGTGAAGCAAATATGCAGCATTGGAAGATTAAACAAGAATGGAGTTTATACACAGAAATTCAATTGCTTTAATCTCTAATTTAAATAATCTCTTTTTGATGTGTGCTCTTTGTCATGATATTAAATGAAGTATATGGTTTGCCAAAAATACAATAAGAAATTTTCTACGAGCACATCTATTCGCTCTTTCATAGGTTCATGGATGGTTCAAGAGTCATTGTACCTTAATGTCTCTGTGAACAATGCATCCATCCATATAATGGTGGAGATACCTCAATGCAAAAGCACAGTCTCTTAGGATCTTAACTCGTTTTTCCCATGTCAAGCCACTGTCGTTTCCTGAACATGGATAACATAAGTTATTTTTCAAGACAATAAGAGAAGAAGGTAAAAAAGGAGCTATTTCTGCAGGCTGCAGCCTAAATGTTTAGGGCGCCGCGCATCCCTTTCCCTAACCATCTGAGACATAGAAATGGCACTTTAACAATAGTCTAAGGCAATTAACCATTTGTGATCTTCTTGCAAACATGGGTTTTCATGCTTCTGAGAGGTAAAAGAATGATTCTAACCAAAAGTGGACAACAAATAATGATCAAGCAAGATTACTTAGGAGTTGTTGAGCAAGATTCCCGGCAGGGCAATATTCCAACACCAGATACTGCTCATCATCTTCAATGCAGCAACCGAGCATAGAAACAAGGTTTGGATGTCGTATCCTGGAGAGACCTGAAACTTCCCTTTTAAAAGAATCAGGGGAATTCGTTTTGTTTATGTGCTTGACGGCCACAACCTGCCCACTAGGAAGAATGCCTTCATAAACTTCACCAGCGCTTCCTTTGCCTAGACTCTTTCTTTTTCTGTTACAACTTATTGCATTCTCAATCTCAGCTTTGGAGAAACTGTAGAGGCCGGAACACCTATTAGACTCTTTTGATTTAATAGGTTTAGGAAGTTGTCTCTTGATCTTGCTCTTCCTCTTCTTCATGATCACGTATTTTACCAGAATAAGGATCAGCATTAGGACGATGATCACTATAACAACCGCGACTAGTGCTCTAGCCAGGGCATCTGACATATCATTTCTGTGAGTATTGCAGGTTGTACAGACTAAATAAAGAGAGTAAAGAAGTCACATGTTTCAATTTGATTAATATGTCCAAAACAAATGCATATCAGTAGAACTAAATAGAGAAAAGTATAGTCTCTAAAGGTATATCAAAACTGTTAGATGTTCAAACCTCCGAAGAGAGAATGGGGTTTATGGAATGGAAAAGGGTTGTCTCCCACTACGTCAGGCCTAATAGGCCTCTATGTGTACTCAAAAATAAATGGGAGAAAAGTGGTTAAAACTTACATTTGAGTTTGATGTAGCCAATATCTGTTAGGGAAAACGGAACAGTTTGCGGTCAGTAAAAAAAGTTTAAAGAGCAGGGAGAAGAAATCCTACCCGATTTCTGATTCCTACCTAAATCGTCTAAAGAAGACATACAGCTGAACAAATCAGCAACGAAAGAGTGATTATCAACTTTTGCAGCTGCAACTGAAATAATAACTGCTAATCCACATATTGCTCTTTCAGTATGATTTTTTTTCCCTTGCAGCAGTTCCAATTGGTTCTCCACTGCACTTCCCATTGCATCAGTGCATTTTTTGCATGAATCATCGAATGATGAACCAAGATTTGTGCAAGCCTTTAATGCGTCTTGGTATGATGGCTCACTCTGAATCTTTGTCAGAGATAGACTTGAGCATTGGCTACTGCCGTGGTAAAAGTCATCAAAGCCACAGGAATGTATGGACACTGATTCTTGACTAAGAAAATGACCATCACATTTTCTCCACGCGTCTTGTTTGATAAAGATGTCACCATTTGTCCTATGCGCATGCACTGCAAGGGCCTCAGAGAAGGCAGTGAGGGCATTTCGGCAGCAGAGAGTTGAAGAGATACTGCCCCAGAACTTGATCTTCTTGTTGTCGCCAATGCAGTCACCACTTGGCTGGTAGGGGTATGAAGTAAAGTTTAACAGACAAGCTGCAACCATTGGAACTTGTCAAGGCCAAGGTAAAATGACAAACCGCTTCCACACACTATGCTGAATTTAAACTGCTAAGCATTTTAATTCTCATGTCACTAAAATGCATATCAAAAGTTGTTGAATATTTTGTGAAGAGCGCTGATACATGTGCACTATGCATGGAATGCATTCGAGGTCCACACACATCTCGCATTATGCATTGAGAGAAACAACTTGGTAGGGTCTACCAGTGTACCTATTTTGCAAGACAACCATTATAGTAAACTTGAATGTTGAATTCTTGCAATTTCAATGCTAATGCATACATCTAGAAAAAGAAAGAAAAGGAACCTGATGGATCATCCGGAGAAGGAGAACCAAAAGGGAAGGCATAGATAAAGAAGCAGCCAAAGCAAAATAATGGAAGTTTCAACCAAGAATAAAGGGTTTTCATGTTCCTTTCTTGTAACACGTACTTAGCCCTAGAACGATTGTTGCATGAGGATGAACAAATGGATATATTTGGTTATGTGATATTGAGAAATTAAACTGAAGTTACTTTCATGGGAAACAAGAATCCAACCAAAAATATATTTATAGACCATGGTTCCCTAGTGACTATCGGTGAAAAACAGGTAAGATCGTTGAAACAGTCAAGGGTTTTCATGAATTTATAAGGTTTTACGACCCGATTCATTTGGTGTTAAAAAATAACAGGAAAATTTGTCCTCGGAGAAAAGGACCCAAATCCTTTTCTCAACGTCTAGTCCCTTCAGCATTAACTCTACAACTTTGAAGATGTCGAGGCATGTTACAAGCTTGTCCATTCCTTTGCTCCCATGAATTTGCATGGTTTTCATGACCAGGTTAATTAGCTTTTTAGATGTTCCAAAGATTATACTGAAAGACTTAAGAGTATGGATCTAATCGCCACCTTGTGCATTTAGCATAGTAAGCTACCCCATTATTCGATTTTGGAATTACAATCGAAAAGTAAAAGTGACAAACTAATAGAAAATGGTTAATGATCTTTTTCTATAACTTAGATTCCATTAGGAAACGAAGCAAGCCAAACTTTTCGATATTAATTTTTCTTGATGATTGAGATTAAAATATTTAATTTTGAATGATTTGACTTTTTTTTATTTTTCTGTAAAATTAAGAATTAGAATCTAATTTTTCGATTAATGAACCATGTATTAGTTAATATAGATATTTTGGGTTATAACACATTATAACATTTAGCAAAATTAGAATTTGTTTTGGTGAAATGGGTGTTAGGTTTTATATTTAAGGAGAAAAAGCTAGAAGAGCAAAGATATGTATGGAGAAACGTTGGATACGTAAAAGGTCTAATTTCCACACGTTGTCTTATCCTAAGTTCACTTACAGACGAACTTGCTCGCACATGCTGTTGGCTTGTTGCCGCTCGTTTCCTCTCTGTTTAGTTAGCAGCATCCCCTGCATTACATTAAAAAAACCAGAACCCACCATTTCTTTTTTCTGCTCCATTGGTTAAGGTCAATTCTCTTCTCTATTTCTCTTCAACAAAGTCACCTTTTTTTTATTTTTGCATTTGTATGTTTATTTTTGTTGTTGTATGTATCGCTGTGGATTAATAAACTGTAAACATCTTTATGTGCATTGTAAAAGTATTATCATTTTCTGGTTGTAAAAAGCTGCAATGGTTCTTGCTGAATTGTATGAGGTTATTGCTAGGTTGAAGCTGGATATGGTTCATTAATTGACTTTTGAAAGTGCTAGCAATTGGGTTACCTTTTCTTTTTACAGTTTTGCTCTTCCTCTGTTTTTATATGTGGTTCATACCTTGAAATGGATTAGTTCTTCCTCAATTTTCTTATGGAATTTGTTTGGTAGGAAAGTGGGTTCATATTTCTTAGTTGATTATTTGTTTCAAATACGGTAAATCAGGCAGTTGTGTGCTTTTCTTTTGACTGTTTTGCTCCTGGTGTTCATTCCTTTTTGTGATCCAGTGGAGTTAGCAGAGTGAGTCTAGTGTGGTTGTTGTGAACAAGTGTTAGTGGATGATTGTTCCTTTTAAATGCTCAAAAAGAAATTATTGCTGGAATTGGAAGTGCTTTTCAGATGCTTTTGTATGCTTTAGTAAATAACAGTTGGCTGCTTAAAGTGCATCTCAGTGGTATATTGTACACAAAACGCATATTATTTCATCTCTTCCAATTGCTACATCCATGTCATGATTTAATTTGGAAATTCATTAATCCTTGAGGCTTATAGCTGCAAGTAATAATAGATATGATGAAAAAATTATTTGGACTAGTTGGATCAATCAGGCATCTTCATAGATGGCAAGTTGGATTCTACATGTCTACTGAAAGAAAGAACTATTTCTTTGATTACTGCTCAAATTATCAGAAGCACAACATACTGACTCTTTGTCATAATCAGGTTGTATGTGGGAGTTGAGATACTGAAATATGGCACAAGCTGCACGTTCATTATGTTTTTCCCATGATAAAGGTGTCCAAGTTTTGTGTAGAACATCAGGCCTTAGTAGTAATGAAAGATTTCACAGGAGGCAAGTAGCACATTTTCATGGCATAGTGCTAGTGAAAATTCAATCCAGTGGCAGAAAGGCAAGGTGCTCCCAGTTAAATAAGTCAAATCTGAATTATGCTGCATCAGATTTAAGATGTTCAAATCAGCTGTCAAGAAGGAAAGTTAGGAATTTTTCATCCTGTAGCTGCAATAGAAGAAGACCTAAGGTAGTATTGGCTATGGAGAGTTTCTTAGTAGTTAACGACATTCTTTGTCATACTAATATTCATATTTTCTACTTTTAATCTTCTTCTTTCCTTTTCCCTTTTGCGTTTTCTTTAAGACAGAAGAGGTATTTGCATTTCTGGTGCCAACCATATCAAATGTCTTAAATGAATGGAGCCAGTCAAAAATTGTGAAAGTAGTTGGACTGCTTGCATGTGCATACTTGGTGATTCCGTCGGCTAGAGCTGTTGATGCTCTAAAAACATGCACTTGCTTATTGAAGGAGTGCAGGTATTAAATCAAACTAAGTGAAACTGTTTTCAAATTTAGGTAGTCGGTGTCTTACGGTTTACTGCACTAAAGTCCTCCTAATAGTGTTTCCTATGTACTTATTTCTACCCTGTCAAAAGCATTGGAAAGGAATAGCTTAGATTCTGCCTTTATTGCATCAATTGTTTGCAGAAGCCTAAGTCATTTTTCTTCACTCCTTTATTTTTTGTTTCTTCTCTTTCTATTGGTTGGCTGTTGCTCCAGTTCATCTGATACAGTTCCCCATACTTTTACTTCCATTATATTGTGATTGTAATCTATCCAACCGAACAATAGAGTGTGCAAACCACTGATTAGTAAGGAGATCTAACCTCAAACCACCAGCAGTGAGTGTGACTGCCAATGTTCATTATCTGCTGTTCATTATCTAACATTATAGAACTGTACAATAGAATCCAAGTTTTTCTTCATATCTGCTTTCGGCTTCACGATGACCTCCTACATCCCTGATTTATGTCGACTGCAGTTCTAAGTCTTTAAAAATAAAAGTTGTCTCTCATCTGACTTGACACGTAATATTATTCTTATCAGGATAGAACTTGCTAAGTGCATTGCCAACCCATCGTGTGCTGCAAATATTGCTTGCCTCCAGACCTGCAATGATCGGCCAGATGAGACTGAATGCCAGGTTAGTTCTGTATGTTTCTTGCAAATCATTCATGGCTAACAATGCAGCATTTTATTCCTAAGGCATGTATATTATGCTTTATAGACTTCTTTGTGTCCACACCTTTGCAGATTAAATGTGGGGACCTCCTTGAAAACAGTGTTGTAGATGAATTCAACGAGTGTGCTGTCTCACGCAAGAAGTGTGTGCCTCAGAAATCTGATATAGGGGAATTTCCTGTCCCCAGTCCTGCTGTTCTTGTCGAAAACTTCAATATTGCTGATTTCAGCGGGAAATGGTTCATAAGTAGTGGCTTAAATCCTACCTTTGACACCTTTGACTGTCAATTACACGAATTTCATGCAGAAGCTGGCAAACTTGTGGCGAATTTGTCTTGGAGAATAGGAACACCAGATGGTGGCTTTTTCACTCGATCTACTCTGCAGAGATTTGTGCAAGATCCAAACTACCCTGGGATTCTTTACAATCATGACAATGAGTACCTTCACTACCAAGATGACTGGTAAAGTCCGTACCTCTACTGTTTAAGTTAGTACATATCCTAAACTAGTAATCAAAATTTTCTTAAAAGGTACGAAGTTGGCCTCCTGGCTTGTAACTACTAACATCCACTAGTTAAGTATATCCCAAATATAGTTATGCAGTCATAAATGAGGATATTATTTGAATCAAATATTTAGCACAAATGCTTGATTTGGACTGGTATCGCATTCATGTCTCATGCGGGTCAACTTTTCTTGTTTTGAGACCAGAAAATATTTCACATTTATGTCCAACCATTTGATGCCACTGACACTATTCGATGACACCAAGGGAGAAGTTGATTGCAAGATTAAAAGATTAAATACTAACTGGACTGTGAAATTTATTGAAGGATTTCCTTTCCTTTTGGGAACAATAATCAGTGTCAGATGAATTGAGGAGAAACTTTCACAATATTGATACACAAAGGAAAACTGGAATTATGAACCGCAAGCATCATGTATTGCAAAAGTCTCCTTGCCCTTTTCTATATTGGTGCCAAATAAAGAGGATGTGAAAAACATGCTTAAAGCTATGATCTGATGTTATCAGATGGCAAAATGTTTTTCATTAGAAAAAAAGGCAAAATGTTTTCTGAATTGTTAGGGGACATCAATATTTTACTTTGAAGAAAACAAAAATGATAAAGCAAGATGTTCAAATCATTTTTTATGGATTAAAGTATATAAAAAAAATGACTGGAGGACAAATTTGATGACAGTAAGAAAGGTCAGTGTTAACTAAGGCAGGATAGATGAGATAAATTATCAGCTTAGCAGTTTAATTTGGTCACTATGTCCTTATGTTTGCCCCTTCAGAGACAGATGCAGCATGAGATGAAGGTTTCATGCTTTCTAGTAGAGGATTTCTGCTGTTTTTTGTACATAGTTGAGTGCTTATGGCAGCATTTATGGCGCTTACCTGATTCTTTGTGTGTCAAGCTTATGTGCATAATATTAGCATCATGCTTTTACCAGAAGTAATAACTTGCAAAGGAACCAATCCACTTTAGAATCTTATCCTTTCATAGCTTCATTAACAGTAAAAACTTGTGTCAATTGTCTCTTCAGTCACATAAAAGTATATCGATACAGATTGGAATATCTTGAGCACCCCTGGCTGTGGTAACAGCCCTCTATGCACTGTGGTTTTCTCACTGTTGATTTGGCATTTTTCATAATAACATTGCTTCTGGACTCACCATTTAAATTCAATATGCAGGTATATTTTATCATCCAAAATAGAGAACAAACAGGATGATTATATATTTGTATATTACCGGGGTAGGAATGATGCCTGGGATGGATATGGTGGTGCCGTTGTCTACACAAGAAGTGCAGTTTTGCCTGAAAGCATTGTACCTGAACTTGAAAGGGCAGCTAAAAACATAGGGCGAGACTTCAACAAATTTATCAGAACAGATAATACTTGTGGGCCAGAGCCTCCCCTTGTAGAAAGACTTGAAAAGAAAGTAGAGGAAGGGGAGGAGACCCTCATAAGGGAAGTCAGAGAGATTGAAGGGGAGGTAGAGAAGGAGGTAAAGAGGATTGAGAAGACTGAGATGACCTTGTTCCAGAAGTTGGCAGAAGGTTTCAAAGAGCTACAACAAGGTGAGGCAAACTTCTTAAGAGGGCTAAGTAAAGAAGAGATGGATCTGTTGAGCGAGTTAAAAATGGAAGCAAGTGAGGTAGAGAAACTCTTCAGTGAAGCACTACCGCTTAGGAAACTAAGATAGGTTTCACAAGTTCAACAGTTAAATTACAATTTTTGGGAAACTGTACAGCTTATTTCGCAATAATTCACATGGATGCTGGTTGAGTTCAACAGAATATTTCTTTCAGCTTTTGTATTTCAACAATCATTTATTTTTCAGCTGCAGATGTAATGTAAAGTCCTCTTTGTGTTGTATGTCGTGTTTTCCTTTTATCTGTTATTTTCAGATATCTGCAAAAACTAGTAAGGGAAATTTTTTCATACCAAGAACTGAATCTGTCAGCTAGAAATTCCCCTTTTTTTTTATTGTCCTTTTGGGAGTAGGGGACTTGAGAAAACCATAATTGAAAATGCAACAGTTGTTACTGGGTTAAGGAAGCAGAACATTTTTAAATGAAATTTGTTATGCTTTAACCATCCTCAAATTCTGCAACAAAAAGATAAAAGCAAAGAAGATCTGAATTTGAGGAACGCAATTGCAACACCTATTATACTTTGGTAGATCTCCATTGCACATTGAATTTTAAGAATCTCAACAACAAAAGAATGAGAAAAAAAAAAAAAATCTCAACACTCCATCTAGCCAGTCCCAAAACATAAGGACTGCAACTTGTGCAAACTCCAGATCTTACATTTTGCAAAGCGAAAAGAAACCAGAAGGAATAACTGGACATTAAATCCTCTGTAACAACATCCAATTCAGGAACTACTCAAGCTAGTAGCAATTGGAATGATAATCACAAGAACGATCAGCAACAGAAGAATGATCCCAATACACATCCACTTCCTGCTGCTCCTCTGGTACTGCTTTGCAGTGTTGAGCTCTTTGGATCCATCCTTCACATAATGGCTTGCATTCATCACATGGTGCTCAATATCATCCATTTGCTCCCCTTGTGCCTCCACCATGACCGCCATGTCCAAAAACACCTGGTGCAGCTCCAATAAACTCTTCTCAATCTCTTTAGCAGCGTCATGCCTGTCCTGAATCTCAACCACAGTCTCTAACACCTTCCCTCGACCATGCTCTTGTATTGCACTCGTTAAGAACTCTTCGCCTCCATTACCATCAGAAATGATCTTCTCAATGATTTCCTCATCAGGGTTCTCTCCAGTCACTGTATAATACCTTCGGCCCACAGTTTCCTTGTACTCTGTCATCATCTTCTGCCTCAAACCTTGAAAATCCATCATGAGCTCCTTCAACTTATTGCGCAAGCCATTGGTGACAGCAATCCTAGTCCTGTAAGCGAGGGTGCCTTCCTTGCACCCTGAGAGGCGCTTATTAGCTGCATTGGCACGGTCCATTTCTTCAAGCTGTGACTTGATGGTCCTGGCCTTCTTTTGCACAGTGACAATGTCATTGTTGATGTTGTTCCGCAAAGCCTTCAAGGACTCCTGTTTGTGAAGTGACTTGCTTTCTTCATTGGATTCTTGGAGCTTGCCTAAGAGTTCACGGATTACTGCCATCTCTTGCTTCACTTTCTCTGCTTCTTCAAGGAATAGGCCGAGGTTTTGGTCCATGGTGTTTGCTGTGGAGGACATTTCTAGATCATAGTCAGGTCCAGCTTCAAGATCTTTCATTGCCTCTTTCTTGAGGTCGACATAGCTCATAAAGGACTTGGTCATCAGATCATTCATCTTTGCTCTCTGGAACTTTCCTTCAGACCTAAAAAACCAATCAAAGGAGAAAAACAATCAGATAAATACATGAAATTGAACTCAAAGAGGGAGGGCATTAGATTTCCTTTGCAGTTAAAAATGTCACATGAGCTGCATATAAGAATCCTTAATCATATTTTCACTACAAACGAATCCAAATTCAACAGAAAAGAGCATAAATTTTTGCAATATGATGAAATGGGTTTTCTTAAAATGAACCCAAAAAAAAAAAAGGCTCAGCATCTCTTCTACAGAATCTAACAAAAAGAAAATTGAACTGATGAAATTGGTGTTTCCATACCTTGAAATGTTCCAGCTGCTAGCTTCTTAGTATCAGCAGGCTCCAAAAGAGAAAAGATATATGGAAAGAACTTGATTAATGTGACTTTGACTAAGAAAAATTGGAAAGAAATCTGAGATCTCAGGTGTTTGAATTTGATTGAGAGCTTGGAGACAGTACTTAAAAGGAAGGGAAAAATCTCTCAGGAAAGAAAAGGGAAAAAAATAGCCGTTACAGCTCTGAGCTCCAATGTCCTAACGGCTATATTTTGGATGCCCGTTGTTTCAATTTTTCATTTTTCCGTTTGAAATTGGGGCAAATTTATAATTTGTTGGTTTTTGATGACTGTCTAAGCAAATCTTGGACCCACGTCCTCAGATCTGAGGAAAATGATTTTTTTATCGGGCCGAGTGAGGTCCATTTGGCTTGATAAAAAAACACAAAGGGAAAAGGAAGAATGGATGATTAAGCTATTCAATAAATTTTGTATGGTTTGGACTTGCTGAAAAAGGATGTCCGCAAAGTTTCTTAATTTCATGTTCGAGTTTATTTAATAATTAAATATTTTTAAATAAATATATACTTATTTTTTAATTTATTTACAAATTTAAAAAAATTTTAAACTCATCTTTATATCATCAGTTTAGAACTTTAACCAAGTGTCATATGACGCTGTAATCTCGTATTTGTAAAACTAAATAAGCCTAAACAAGGTTTATTGATAATCGACATAAAAACATAAAATAAGCAAATATAAAAAAAGAGATTGAAGAGAATAAATAAGTATTATTGCTCCAATAAAAGAAAAATAAAATACGTAAGATTTAAACATAAACTAAATTACTTGATTTGATAAACTTAATTTGATTATCTTACAATGACTCTTAAAGGTGCTATTTATAATAATTTATTTAACTTAAACTTAGTACTCAAGTAAAAGTAAATATAAAAATATCTAACCTAAACTTCCTTAAAATACAAGAAAAGTAAAATTATAAAAACTATGCTTCCTCGATGAACAAGTAATCAACAAAGAGATTTTTTTTTTTAGAAAGTATTCTAGTTGCTTTAGAATATTTTATTTGGCTACCAAGGCGACAACGGATGGATCTCTGCATATGGACTAGCTAAGCAGTCCATAGGGACTATTCTAATAACGGATCTGCTGACTGTGACACTTAACTTTTAGTTATAATTTCATATAAGTTTATTAGTTTTTAAAATGAATAGTTCGCCTTAAAAGAATATTTTTCATAATCCATCATTAATATTTTTGTTTGTTTAATAACGTGATAATATTTAAATGATAATTTTACCTTTTATTAATTTTAAAAATTACTACACTATATAAATTATAATTTTTAATTTTTTTATTAAAGTTTTAAAGGAATCGTTGAGTAGATTTTTTTTCAAAAGAAAATATGTTTAAATTAAAAAACATATATAAAAGATATTTATGTCTTAAAACACTTATGTAATATTAGGTTTACTTTTTTTCCTTGTTGACTAAGACTAACAGTATTAGAAATCAGGGATAAAAACAACATTTTGAAATAAAATAGACCAAATATCCCTTTAAAATATTTTAAGGAAGGTTTTTGATTTTATCCTCATCTTCTTTTAAATCATATCTAATATTTATATTTTTCGAAAAAAGTCAATCATTCAATAAATCCAATTATGATTCAAATTTTTAATTTACCATTAAACTGATTAATTATTATTAATTTAAAAAAAGATAAAATTCAACTTTTTAAATAAGTAAAACTCTTTAATTATTTTGTGTGATAAATATCTTTAATAAAAATTAAAGTAAGATGAAAGAGTTTTAATTCGTTCCTTCAAGTTATATTATTTAATTTAAGAAAATAATATGCATAAATAAGACGAAATTCAAATAAAATAAATCTAATCAATTTCCGTATTTACCTTTTTAAACTTTATTATAAAAAATAATGAAAATATATCCATATAGTGGGTGTCAAAAATCAAATAATTGTTTAAATTATCTCTTATTATCACAAATGAAAAAACAGCCTTAAACTTCGAATCCAAGCAACATATAAATGGAGTTTGATTATTTGATCCAATTCATTTGTAAGTATATGATTGGACTATGCTGCTCAATTATGGAAACCAATCAAGAGCATTTTATTTACAATTTTGTAATTATTCAATTACAATAAAATATTATATAAGAGTATATCACCTATTAATTAATATAGATTTCATATACTATTTTGATTAGACTTTACATGATTTCAGATTATGAATGATTATTTGTAATGTAATAATTGATGTTTAATTAATTTTAAAGGGTTTAAAGTAGCAATTCAAACAAAACAAATTGTCTTAACTTAGGTGGTAGAGTGTTCGGTTTTGTTAAGAGGTTATAGGTTTAATTTCCACAAATTACATATTTTTTGGTCATTTAAAGTTCAGTTAATTGAAAAAAAATCAAAACTAAAATAGACCGAATTAATCGATTTTGTATTTTTAGGTTTTGTGAAAGTTATATAAGATTATTAAGATTGTGTTGTAAAGTATACTCGAGCTTGGCATGATTTTCAATTGAAAACGGGAAAAGAATTTGAGGATAATGTTTCACAATTATTCTCATTTTGGGGTTAATATCACTCTTAATATTTATGATAACTATTATTATGAGGCATTATTTTAATTTAATGATTTCTATTGATAAAATGAATCCTAAAACAAACCCTTTGATTTGGAAAAGGATAAGGTAAAAGATTTTGCAACCATCCCATATCTCAGTTTTAAGTTGCCTAATCCTAAGGATAAAATGAAAATCTGTGATATGGCTCTTTTTTTAAATATAAAAGAAAAAAAGTTTTTTAATATAATTATTTATTACTTTTTTTTTCAAAATGCCAAATCCATTACCTTATAAACGGCACTATAAAAAATAAATTATATATAGATGAATTTAATGTATGTTTAGGGATGATAATGAGTACTTATAATTATATATCTTACAGTACAAGATTTGATTAAATAAGATTAAAGTAGTTTATAATGGGGTTTGGATAAAATTTAGATAGTAAAACTACTACCCATAATGGTTATAGGGTACTCACAATCCAAATTTGAAATAATAATTTTTAATATTAAATTTTATTTTTATATTTAATTTTTTTGTAATATTTACGGAAATTGATTAATATAGTTACAGAAATTGATATAAAACTCCATATAAAATCTTATTAATTATATATATTATAATATATAAAGGGTGTAAATCATATTAATTAATATATGAATTTAGCTTGAGACTTTGAAAGTAGACAATTATTTAATCTCAAAATGATTACATAGGAGACAGATAAGGGAAAATAAAGTAGTATCTAAAAAAATAAAATCATTTTTTGCTTGTACATTGTGCAAATTTTACCCTCTACAAATAACCTAATATAATTATTAAATGAATGTATGATAATCATATAAAACACCTTCATGAATTCGAAAATTTTCAATAATTTCAAAACCTTTGGATTATCAAAACATAAAGTTTTAATTTTAAATTTAAATTTCAAGAAGGTAGTTGAAAACATGAAATTTAAAATATTTAACAGAATTATCTCTTAATAACGTAAATAAAGTTTGAAAAATATTTAGCAAAAACCAAAGAACTTGTTGGCAAAAATACTTGTTTTGAGTTGTATTTGAATTAGTTTTAATTATTATTATTATTATTAATCAAATAATTGGAATGCATTTGGGCTTAAGCGAGATCTAGAAAATGGATAATTAATTAGGATAAAGACAAATACTGAGCTGACTCACCAGGTATGGGTTGGAGAGCAGTAAAAGGTTAGAAGAAAAGAATAGAAAAGAAAACTACTTTCCTAGCAACTGCGCAAGACTTGGAGACATCTGCCGGCATTGGCCAAAAAAATCCCATTCCCATCTCAACTCTACTTCTCCCCTCCGCAGAAACGGAAAAAGGTAAAACAACCCAACAATCATTCTTTTGTAGCACAGCCCATTCCCGTTCCTCCTTCTATCTGCTTGTGGCTACAAAATTCTCACAAAATAACCCAGCAAAGCAAATACAAATTCTTCACCATGGGTCCGATAAAGATGGCAATCGGGGACATGTTGATTACTTTCATGTGGGTGTTTTTTGCATCGACGTTCGGTTTGTTAACTTCCTTGATAGCCACTGCCATTGGTGTCCAAACCGTAACTTGGGCTTCTGTTGTTATCACCACTCTCATCATTTTCGTTTTCGTTTTCATCTTTAATACTATCTGTGGATATCTTGGTGGGGCTAGCTTTAATCCTGCTGGTACAGCCTCCTTCTACGCCGCCGGGGTCGGTGACGATAGCCTTATCTCCATGGCGCTCCGGTTCCCAGCTCAGGTAAAAATCAATTTGTCATCTTTTTGTGTTTTTCTATGTGGGGTTTTGGTTTTCTGATGGAATTCTATTGTATTTGACCTGGATTCTGCTGTTTTTTTTTTCCTTTTACTTGCATATTTTCATTTGTTTTAAACTTTTGGATCAAATCATATGATTCTTTTTTTTTTGTTTGGGTTTAATCTTCTTTATCTTTTAAGCGTTTGATAGGTATTACTTAGTTGATTGATTCTGTAATCATTTTTGTTCTTTGCTGGTCATGTAGAATATGCTTTAAAAAAAATAGTTTTATTCCAAAGATTTGCCTTACCTGAAACCACAGTAATTTACTAGTTCAATCGATTTTCTTTGTTTTACTTTCCAATATTCAGTATTTTTATTATTTTGTAGTCAGTCTTTTTTGGTGTGTGTGCCTTTTGCTCACATGGGTTTAACATTCCTTTTCTTCTTCTTTTTTTTCACTTTTGTTTTGTTTTTTAATTTGCATTTTTAAGTGCCTTTTAAACTTTATTGCTCTACAAAGCTGTAAATGTGAGATGTTCCCCTGTCTATTTCCTTTTCTCTTAAGGGTTTCTTCTCCCTCAGTAAAGGAGATTTGAGTGTGCCAGGAAAAAGGGAATAGAAAGTCAAAATGAGCAACGCAGATTTAGAATGCCCAGTGGTTACTGAACAGAATGATGCATTGCAAAGAAGGATTTATGTTAGATTTTCTGCCCTGTTTTTCCATTTTTGCAAGGGAGAATAATGGCATCTTAAGCTGTTGAAAAACATACTGAACAATAATTTTATGTTATGATGCATTACCGAAAATAAAATGTCTCACTGGCAGGCAGCTGGTGCCGTGGGCGGTGCCCTGACAATCACGGAGGTGATACCCGAACAGTACAAGCACATGATAGGGGGACCATCTTTGCATGTAGATACACACACTGGAGCCATTGCTGAGGGGTTGTTGACTTTTCTAATTACCTTTGCTGTTCTTCTAATCATTCTTAGAGGTCCACACAGTGAAATGTTCAAGGCATGGTTGCTTGCCATTGCGACTGTAGCATTTGTTCTGGCCGGTACCTCTTACACTGGACCATCCATGAATCCTGCCAATGTAAGTCGCTGGCACTTTCTCTTTACCTGTTCTACTTCCGTATGTTGTTCTGTTTTGAATTTTGTCAAAGACACGCAGTGCCGTGATAATACTAAGGTTTTTAAGCTTTTGTGTCTCATTGTTTCCTTTATGTAGTATAAATAAATTGCTACATGAGAGTTTATTCCTTTTTGAAGCACCTGAAGTATATGCAGCTGTTTAACTACTCTCCCGATTTGGGTTATGTCTGGCTTGCTTGTTACTGCTTCTTTGATTAGGAATATGATTGTACCCTGCTCCTCCTTCTTTTTGTGATGCTTTTGTAATATTTGTTGGTATTGGATTGTCCTGGTTTGTATGTAGACTGAGTTTCTACTAGTTTCTGGATCATAATGATTTAAGGTCCTTGTAACATTGTTATTTGGCTTAAGTATATAGCAATTGCAATTGTTAATATGCTTTTTTTATCATTAGGATTAATGCATGCCAGTCTATTCGATGCAATTGCATGTTCTGGTCTATTTCCATTGAAGCAAGTAGCTTAGTGAAGAGTGAAGCAAGGACTCTTTTTGTTTCGTCCTTTAATGTTTAATTCTTTTTGTTGACCTTTCTCTGTTTCTTTCTTATTGCAATCTTTTCCTTGATTCCTGATTACACCTTCTATTCAATAAAGTTGTTCTCTATGTAATTACATATCTTATTAAGTATGTACTTCCTTGCCTTTTAATTCACTCCTTAAAAGTTCATAAGTTCATAACTTTTGATTTCCTACTTTTCTTTTTGAAAAAGTAACCAGTTTTCTCTGGTAATGTCCAGAATTGCATTATTAATCGTGAATCATCTTGCAGGCCTTTGGTTGGGCATATGTGAACAACTGGCACAACACATGGGATCAGTTTTATGTTTATTGGATCTGTCCATTCATTGGAGCTATATTAGCTGCCTGGGTCTTCCGACTTTTCTTCCCCCCATCACCGGTGAAGGTGAAGAAGGCCTAAGGTGACTTTATAAAGCTCGTGTTGCCATCAACAACAATAGATAAGCTCAATGTTTATGTAATAAGCAGTTCGTTTTTCAAATTTTCTAGTCAACTATTAATTTCTCCATCATTTGAGGATAGTATGAATGAAACATTCTTGCTGTGTAGCACCTTTTTCTGCCTTCTCGTGTTTGGTTTGCTGCGAATGTTGTGCATATCTGACTAATATACTGCCTCAACTCTTTAATTTTATCGATATACTCATGTCAGACACATATCTGATATGGTGAAGATTGCGAAAAGACTTGAACATGTTTGAACCAGATGGTTACTCGTGTCTGTCATTTGCAGGCCTAGCAATGCAGGACGCAAGAAAACAGGGCTCAGCTTACACAAAATTTGCCAGTTTTGCCTTCATGAATTCAGTGGAGAATTCTCTTACATAAGTAGTAGTATCACAAGTTTGCAGGGTAAAAGTTTGATCTCTTCTGAATTACTGTGTTCAGTTTGAATGCTTAAAAGAAATGAATGTTCCCATCACTTAGGTTTTGTTGACCCCAATATTTGATTCAGCAGACATTGTCAAGAGTCAAGACCAAAGCGAAAAACGAATTCCAGTAAATAATTTGATAACATAAAACCATATCTACAAGAGAAGAATATATATAAAGTTCAGACTCTGTTTTGTTTCCAACTTCTGAAAGGAACAATAATAAACTGTGTTTTATTAAATAAATATCATATTTGCCATCACATGTTAATTTTATCTAATACCGTTGATTATAAAAATTTATTTAATTTAAAATATAAAATATAACATCTTAATTGAACCAAATAAATTAAATTCTAACTATATTATAATTTTATAAAATATTTTAATGATGTTTATGTAAACAAAACAAGCCCTTGCTTGGTAATTATCACCAAATCCTATTTTATATCCTCCGAAAAGACAATTTTTTTTTGTGGGACAAAAAAATACTAATCGACTAATAGTTTCTCACCCAAAAATAAAAAAGAAAAAGAAAAAAAGGAAAACTTTCAATTTTCAGTTCCCCTTTTTAAAAGAAAAAAGAAAAAAAAAGGTTAAAAACTAGATCGTCAAGGAATTATAAATGCTCCACTTTACGTACAGTATAAAAGGAAATGAGAGAAAAAAAAGAAAAAAAAATTCTCTTCCTCCTTAATCTAATAGCCCATCCTTTCCTCCCAAAATCACTCCACATTTTATATGTACAGCACTTTTCCACTACGTTTCTCTGTTTCTCTTTCTCTTTCTCTTCTTTTCTTTTTCACTCCCTTTCTCTTTATCGCATGATCAACATTTCCCTTCCTCTCCCAATCCTTTCAATATCACTTAATTTCACCATTTAATTTCTTTTTTTTTTCATTAAGGTTACGTTTCCTATAAATTCGAAAATTCCGAAATTAAAAAAGCTGGAAGATCTGGAGCCATTACCGACTACCACCGGCAACGGCCAGATCCGGTACCGAACGCCATCCTCTGCCGAGCTTCTCGAGTCTGGTTCAGCCGGAGGCTCACAATCCCCCACCGGAAACGGCACCACCGATCACATTGAAAAGATGATGAAGCGGTCAATGGCGAGGCACGAGTCCATCTCCGACAAGATCCACAAGTACCGAGGCGTCTTGCTGGTGATCTCCATCCCTATCGTGCTCATAACGTTCGTATTGTACGTGATGCCGGGAAAATCGGCGTCAAATGAGGCCGTGGTGCAGGAGGCCGAGTTAAATATCAGGAAAGTAGGGGCGAATTCGAGAGGGAATAGGAATTATGCTGTGATTTTCGATGCAGGGAGTTCCGGGAGTCGAGTTCATGTTTATTGTTTTGATCAGAATTTGGATCTTGTTCCAATTGGTTCTGAATTAGAGCTTTTTGAACAGGTAAATTTTTTTTTACAATTTTTTAGTAATTCCTTCAGAGGCGAAATTTATATTTGCTTGGAATGTAGCTTTAATATTGATCATTTGATTGGTGATTTAATAGTATTTTTAGATAGATTTGCTACGAATTAGAGCTTTTAAAACAGGTAATTTTTTTATGTTCTTAATAACTTTTTGTTAATTTTTTAGAAGCAATATATATATAGCAATATAATTTTTTTTCCCAATTTTTATATTACGTCAGTGGCATTTATTAGATATTTTCTTTTATGTTTTTCCCTGATTTTTGTTGATTTTTAGAGGTGAAATTTAGATTGGTAGGAATGTGAATTTGAGGATATACGTGTTGTTTTAAATCTGGATTTTGAGTGAGAATTATGATTTAAAATGATAGCTTAAGTGGTAATTTTGTAAATCTTTGCCTTTTTTTTTCCAGCTTATTCAAAAGAAAAGCTATATTAGTGGCCTTTATTCAATATTTGTGGCATGGCTTGGTTCAAATATTTTAAAGTAAGATTTTACTTTGTATGCTCTAAAAGAGAAGTTTAATTGAATTTGAACAAAAAGAGAAGGTTCTACCATCAATTGGCTGGTATTTTTTCAAGGTGCCATTTTATTTGCATACTGTGGAAGAAGTTTTTACTTGAATTTGATGTGATTGTATTCCATGTATTAATTGGTTTTTTGTGGTTTGTTTTGTTGTAGATCAAACCAGGTTTGAGCTTCTATGCTAAAGACCCACAGGCTGCAGCAAATTCATTACGTACTCTTCTTGACAAGGCAGAAAGTGTTGTGCCACTAGATTTGCGATCAAAGACTCCTGTGAGAGTTGGGGTATGTATATCTAGATGCATTGGGCATGCTTGTTTGTGAATTTTGAGTCTCATAAATTTCTGAAGAATTGGACTTTGAATGTTTTGTAGGCAACTGCTGGTCTGAGGGCATTAGAAGGTGATGCATCTGATAGAATTTTGCATGCGGTAATTCTATTTTTGGAAGCATGTTGGTTTTGTTCACAGGCTTTATTTTGCCATTTTCTCATGCCAACGGTTTTTTTAATGAACTTATTTAGGTTAGTGAACTTCTGAAAGATAGAAGCACCCTCAAATATGAGGCAAATGGGGTCAGAATTCTGGATGGCTCTCAAGAAGGTGCTTATGAGTGGGTATGTTATACTGAATTTCATGTACTTTTATACTATGCTTTTATTTTGGGCCTAAAGTGATCTTCCTTTTCAAGCTTGGTTATAGGGAAATTATGTCAAGCCTACAGCAGAATGCATTTTAATGCATTCTTCATCAGGGTCCTTTTGTTGTGGTAGATTGTCTTCAAATTTTACATTGTTCTTAAGATTCTCTACCTTGAGGACACTCTTTACATGCTGTAGCCAGTCAGCTTGATCAGTCTTACTCAAGATGATTTCAGGTTGATGGTCAATTGAAATGGTAAATCTTTGGGTCTTCTCTGGGGTAATGAAGGGAAATACTCTAAAGCTATGGTCATATAGATAGACTTATTTTGCCATAGAAGCAAGTATTTACATTTTGCAGTGAAGTTAACTTGGCTGCATTTATAGGGAGTAAGAAGATACTGTCAAACACCAGGACCCATTCCAAGTTTCCAACTGATTGGTCTAGCGGACCTAATTTGGATCTTTCTTAACTGCCATCTTGTTTTGCAGGTGACGATAAACTACCTATTAGGAAATTTGGGAAGGACATATGCAGACACAGTTGGCATAGTCGATCTTGGTGGTGGATCTGTTCAAATGGCATATGCCATCTCCGAGAATGCTGCTGCAAAGGCTCCAAGTGTACCAGCTGGAGAGGACAATTATGTAAATGAAATGAATCTGAAGGGATCAAAATATCACCTCTATGTTCACAGGTTTCCCTCTTTGATTTTGACAAATTGATTTTATGATTCTATTAGAGATTAGAAATGACAAAAAAGAGAAATTTTATGGCTTGTGACTCCGTCAGAAGTCAATTTTGTCAGAAGTGCCTATATTCAGTCATTTGTTATAACTCTGTAGTCTCATGAAAATCCATCTATATTTATAATCATATGTTTTAGTTAATATACTTTCTTTTGCGTGCAGTTATTTGCACTATGGCTTACTGGCAGCTAGAGCTGAAATTTTGAAGGTCTCTGAAGATTCTGGCAACCCTTGCATCTTAGAGGGTTTTGATGGTATGTTTGGATTTGTTTGATAGCAACTTTTAACTCTTCAAAGTTGATTTTCTTTTGATAATTTGTGCAGCATATGACAATTTGCTTGACAGATTCAGTAGCTAAGGTTTTTTAATGCTCTGATCACTGAAAATGTGATCTTTGGCAGTACAGGAAATCAGCCTCCCACTGAAAATTGTAGTTTAATTCTCTAATTCATAATGTTTGAATTCTTGAATACTGGAATTATTTGAGTAATTATAACATCCTTTTTTCTGTCCTTGGTTGGCAGAATTCGCCATTTAAGCACTTACATATTCTGCATTTTATCTTTTGAAGGTACTTACAAATATGGAGGAGAAGAATTTAAAGCATCAGCTTCTTCATCAGGCACAAGCATGGAAGAATGCAGGAGGGTGACTCTCAAGGCTCTTAAAATAAATGAAACGTGTACACATATGAAGTGCACATTTGGTGGTGTATGGAACGGTGGGGGTGGAGATGGACAGAAGAATCTGTTTGTTGCTTCATTTTTCTTTGACAGGGCGGCTGAGGTATTTCTCACCCAGAATTGTGTTGCATGAAATAAACTACAGAAGAAACTGATTAGCCATGCTAACTATATTGTTTATTCATACAGGCCGGTTTTATTAAAGCCACTGATCCTGTTGCAAAAGTTCAGCCTCAATATTTTGCAGATGCTGCTAAGCGCGCTTGCGAAACAAAGTATGCGAATGCTAAAGCAACATATGAACATGTGGAGGAGAGTAACCTGGCATATATATGCATGGATCTAGTTTACCAGTATACCCTGCTCGTCGATGGATTTGGTAAGCCTAAACTTGGTTAATTTGGTTATGTAACTTCATAGCTTCAGATCGTATTCAAGAGGCATTGTAGGATTCTCAATCAACCCCCATTGTCTTTTTCCTGGACAGGCCTTGATCCCTACCAAGATATTACATTGGTGAAGCAAGTGAAATACCAAAATTCCCTTGTGGAAGCTGCTTGGCCACTAGGCAGTGCCATTGAAGCCGTATCATCATGAAGTAACCAAGTCATGCGGCTTTGATCACTCACTGGAAAATTTTACATGGCTCGTGGTTCTTAGGCATCGGCGTTTCTTAATTAAATCCACAGTCAATACCGTGCAAGTAAGCAGCAGCATTTGGTGCTGGAAATCAGATTTTGGTGGGAATAATCGAAGACTAGAGTTTCATTTCATCTTCATTTGTAATTACATTATTATTACTAGGTGTCCCCATTATTTTTTTATATAATTTTTGTGAGAGATTTAATTGAATTAGTTCATTTAGTTTGCCCTTTTGGAACAAACAGATTATGATACCAAAGTACCAATGCGGTCGTGTCCTTAATATTTTTAATTTTTTGCTAGTAAAAAGCAATTTTCTTTAAATTTTCATCTCTCCGTATTTTGGTTTTGCCCCATTTGTCTTACTTCTCATTTGAGCTGGAATTCACTTCTTTTTGTGGAAATATATATTTTTTGCAAATAAAAAAACTTATTCAGAAAATAGTAGGAAATATATTACTAATTAAATAATAAATAAAGCTTGATTAATTGTCTTCTCCAAAAAAATAAAAAAAAACACTTGTCTAATTGATTTAAGCCACGTGCGGGACATAAGAGGCCCGGGGCTGTTTGGGAAATGGGAAACTTATCTCCCTCCTGAGTCCTGAGACTATATAAAGCAGAGAGAGAAGAAAAACGAAAGTGGCGGGTGTAGAAAAGCAAAGAAGCTTGATTCAAAGCAAGAGAGCTTTATTCCACTCTCGAAGTTAAATGATCGAAACAGTAAGTATAAAACTATTGCTCTCCTCTTATAATCGCTTACTCAGGAGTTTGCTCTTTATTCAGTCATTCTCTCAAACACTTTCTATGCAATTGACAAATGTGGGGAATTAGGTTTACAAGATCGAAAGTTTATGTTTTTTCAGTTTTTGCAAAGATCCATTTAAGAACAATTCATTTAAAACCAACCCAGTATCGAAATCCCATCTTTGAAACAGTAGGAACAACAAGAACAGTAGCTAATACCAACCCCATGAATTTTTGCTTCCCGTTTCAGTTATTTTCTTTTTGTACTTCAAATATTGGTTTCCCAAGTGGACCAAAGATTGAAACTTTTGATGAAAATGGTGATAATGATAATGATGATGGTGAAGATAGTGAGAATTTTGATGGCAATAGTGTAAATGGATCAAGTTTAAGCGATGAGGCTGTTCAGGATGTGAAGGCAATTATGGACGTAATCTGTGAAACAGGTAGTAATTATGTTGAAATGAAGAATAAGCTTGAGCGCTGTATTATAAGGGTTTCCTCCGAGTTGGTGGTGGAGATTCTCTCTCGAATTCGGAATGATTGGGAAGCGGCATTTACGTTCTTTTTATGGGCTGGGAAACAGCCGGGTTATGCACATTCGCTGCGTGAATGCCATTCGATGATTTCTATTCTAGGGAAGATGAGGAAGTTTGATACTGCATGGGCGTTGATTGATGAAATGAGAGGAGGTTGCGCAGGCCCTTGTCTTGTAACACCGCAGACTCTCTTGATCATGATAAGGCGTTACTGTGCTGTGCACGATGTGGGGAGGGCTATAAATACTTTTTATGCGTATAAAAAGTTTAAATTTGATGTGGGGATTGAGGAGTTTCAAAGTCTGTTGTCTGCTCTTTGTCGATACAAAAATGTGCAGGATGCTGAGCATCTGATGTTTTGTAACAAGGATGTCTTCCCATTTAATATTAAGAGTTTTAATATTATACTGAACGGATGGTGTAATGCAATTGGTAGTCCACGTCAGGCAGAGAGGGTTTGGAGGGAGATGAGCAAGAGAGGTGTTCAACATGATGTTGTGTCATATGCAAGTGTCATGTCCTGCTACTCTAAAGCCTGTAATCTTCACAAGGTACTTAAGCTCTTCAGCCAGATGAAAAGAATGGGGATTGAACCAGATAGGAAGGTTTACAATGCAGTCATCCATGCTCTTGCAAAGGCTAGGCATGTAAAAGAGGCTATCAATCTTCTGAAAACTATGGAAGAAAAAGGTATTGCTCCAAATGTTGTTACTTATAATTCACTGATCAAGCCTTTATGCAAAGCCCGGAAGATAGATGAGGCTAGACAAGTCTTTGATGAGATGTTGCAAAGGGACCTCTCACCTACAATTCGGACCTACCATGTTTTCTTTCGTATTCTAAGAAATGGGGAAGAAGTGTTTGAGCTCTTGGAGAAGATGAGAAAAATGGGCTGTCAACCAACCAATGATACTTACATCATGCTGATAAGAAAGTTTAGTCGATGGTGCCAGTTTGATAATGTCTTCAAGCTGTGGAATGAGATGACTGAAAACGGGGTTGGTCATGACCGCAGCTCATATATTGTGTTGATTCATGGGCTATTTTTAAATGGAAAGCTGGATGAAGCATACAAATATTATATAGAGATGAAGGACAAGCAGTTCTTGCCAGAACCAAAGATAGATGAGATGCTTCAGGCGTGGGTTTCTGGTAAGCAATTTGCAGAGCGCCAAATGGCTGACCTGAAGAATAATCAATTACTAGATAATCAGTTGGATGAACGGGTCGGAGTTGAGTGGAAGAAATATGATCAGGAGAAAGATTTTCTCAGGCTACCTGAAACCAGAAAAGTTATCAGAGAAAGGGGCTTTTCATTTTGGGAGCAATCAGTTCCCATGTAACCATAAAACTTCACAATATGTGCTTTTTGTATGAGACTTTAGGCTTCAACACTGAGTTTCCTTTTGATACCTTTCAGTGCTTGACATTCTCCATCACCAACATCAATACAGGGCGCCTCATTGCCTTGCAACTATTTGATAATGCTGTCTAATATTGTGGTTGAGAACTATTATTTTCGAATCATGAATAACTGGCTCTAAACATGCCCTGATTCAAATTAATTGGGTCTTACCCCATGAAGGGCATCTGTTTGTCTACGTCAAATGCGCAGGATATGCTTTTGTGGATGGTAAGATGTTGCATGTTATTTTGCTGCTCATCATAACTGTTTCTGGATCTAAAAACTGTAGTTGGCCTGATTTGAACTATGATTTTCTATGAAGCTAACATACAAATGTGGTTACTTAGTCTTATGGGCCTTGAGCAAGAGTGCTAGCACAACCATTGGTCCTGGCAAAGGAAGAAATGGATACTGTTGGATAGATATCTATAACTCTACTTTTGCAATGTCTTAGCCATGAATACCAAGTTTCTGGATTGTTGGCAGTTCCGTCGTTGCGAGCTTCATCACTGTCTGTCATGCTGATTATACTGCTCCTAGTAGTACAACCTTCTGTAAGACATCCTTGGCACTAATTTTGAGTTGCATTCATAAAATTTATGCTTGATGAGATACCATGATACAAGGAACTAAACCTTGTTTCATTGTGTCATCTTTTTGGCCTTGAAGGAAAATGTTTCAGAAAGCATTGGAAATGTGGAAATTAATTAGAATTGCTTCGAAACCCTAGGAAATACAATGAAAGGTTGCACAGCTATTTTAACTTGGATTTATGAATCATATAAACAATCTCCAGAACTCATGAAATGCTTTTGATACTAAGGTTTGGATAGTAGCCACTCCTTAGGATCAATGAGAAAACTACCATACATGCTTCGGTATTTCTGCAACATCTTTGGATAAATAAAGTTTCTGACTTATTCCAGAAAAAGGGAAAATAGATGAAGAAACCTTTGTCAATGTGTAGAAAATGCTAATAGATGAGCTATTTAATGTTTAGTGGGCCCTGTTGCCTCATGCATGATGTTGCTAATCACACTAAAATTCATTTTTTAAGTGTAGAATCAGTCATTACGAGAATATACCTAAATGTTCTCAAAACAAATGCTGTTTATACAAGACCTGGCTGAAACTTATGAAACAGTGGTTCTATATTAGCTAATAGCTTTTCCATTAAAAGCTAGATACATCTCATCTTAACCTTACCAATCATTAGTGAGCCTTGATAGAAGTGAAAATTAAGATGACATGTTAAAAGAATGATCATGTGTCAAATTTTGAATGTAAGGGATATTTACTAATGTAATACTCTCGCTTAATTTGGCACCTCAATTTGCATCTCATGTTTCTTGATTTTACTGAGTGTTTAAAGATACCCTTAAAAAATCCATGGTAGCAGCATTGTAGCAGTAGGACATAGGAATAGACACTTGAAAGGAGATGCACGGACAGTGGTGATGAAAATTTTAAAAAATGCTACAACATTTTTGTATCACCTGATTGACTTCTTGGTGGTTCTTGGTTTCTTTTTTGAATAAAGTGTCCTCGTCTCTTGCTTAACTACTTTAAAAAATTTGTAATTGAGTACCACTATCATGCTCTTGCTGAAGATGTTGCATTATGCTTTAGAAATTAAATATTTTCGGCCTGTGTCATTCTCTGATGTTTATTCTGCATCTTGTTGCCAGGAAAGACTAATTTTAGGCTTTCTCATTCCTTTATTCCTCTTCTGGCTTTGACCTAGCATCATGTGTGTCATTTTGAAGTCTGAAATTTCCCTAGCTTTTTCATGTGTCTTACTATAAATCAGATTGTGCTTGTCTTCCCTCAACTACTCCCTGCATTGAAGGAAAAATGATAGTGGTTGCACCCAATGTCCTCCAGCTGACTTTGCATCTCTACATTTAAGTAGTTGATTTAATGGAGAGTAAGGTTGAGATTGGTCTGTTAAAATCTTATTAACTAACATGTACTTTCTTACGTCTGTATATACAGATGTATAATTCTACATATTGAGACAATAGTCATTATGCATATTCTCACACCATTGACTTTACTGAATATTGTCTCACAGCCCAAATTCTTCACATCCCGTTCAGACTTGTGTTTGCTCCTTCAGGGTCTCCATTTTCTTAATGTACCCACTTGCATTTTCCAAATGTGTTGTTTCTTGACTACAAGCATTCTTATACTGTAATAGCCACTGACCTTCTAGCCATTTAATCCTTACTTGGAAAGGTCTTTCATCCAGCAAGGCATGTGCCAATGAAACTGATTAGTCAACCTTAAGACTGTTTAATGCGTCATTATGTGTCATACTAGTCTAAGCTGGCAGTCCTTCTTCTGTTATTGGGAATTTCCTTGAAATCTGGTCTGACAATGGATAGATTAAAAGTATGGATGTTGAAGTTTGATTTGAAATTAAGATCTCAAGCAGCCTGTTGAGATCAAGTTGATCCAAGAAGCACTTGCTTTTAGTTTGTACTGCTGTTGAGCTTGGTAGTGAAATTAAATGCTCATCAAAGCTACTTTTGACATCTTTGTAGCTTCATCAATGGCAGAGTTACTTAGTTTTCCCTACATTCTTTCAGTTCAAAGTAAGTAATCTTTTCTTTTTCTAGTTTTCTTTGTCTTCTCAATTCTAGTAGCACATAAATTTAACTAGTGAATGTGAACAGGAGTGTGGATGAAGCAGCATCCCATGCTGCAAGGAAAATGGAAAAAATGAGAATGAAAAGTTGAAGAAGAAAACTCTAGATAGGATGTTTTTAAAATTTAACATTATAGAAAACCGAAAACATTTATTCTGTGTGGTACTTATGGCTGTGAGAGAGTAGATGATGGTCTGTGAGTTCTTGACTTTAGATTTTAGTTACAAGTTAGGCGTAACTCATTATGTGGTGCGGTGCCTCAGATGGGAAAAGCTGGTGCATTTCCATTTGACATGAGATAACTACTAGCCTATAGATTAGGTGAACTACACGTGGAAAACTACAGAGGGTCATTTTCATGACTTTTTCACACTTGGAACTTAGCTAGCTGATGCGTATTCTTACATGCCATCCATACCTTTGACTAGTCTAACTTGTATGTTTGTATGATTATCCCATTCTTAGTCAAAGATCCCTAACAACTTGATGTGATGACAGATTGCACGTTCATCTGGGGTAGGAAGTAAAGCTACCCTGGGCCTATGTTAAGCTAAGGATGAACTTTGAAAAGGAGGGGATAACCATGTGATTGCTCCTTTTCTTTTCCACCATTTGGTTGGTCTTAAATTTTTCCTCTCCCTACATGTAAATCAAAAGTCAAGGTTCTCACAACTAAGTAAAGAGATGCTATTGACCGTTTTTATCAGCAATCAAGGAGGTAACACATTTGGTTTCTCATATTGGCTTGACTTAAAGTTTCCTACTTTTTCTTTGATGTCTATCTGCAAGCTGAGAAAATAGAAACTTTGAAGAAAACCATTGGCTACATAATCAAGGGACGATATATATAATATATTCATTGACATTTTGACATGTGAGTATTTGAATTTCAGCTGAACAAGTTACCTAGTACATGGAAACTAAAGGAAGTTGAGGGCAAGAAAGCTTGAATTCCCAGGTACTTTTGTTTTACGTCATATATGACATAAGATTCAAAGCATGAATCCTATTCTTTGCATGAGAACATACTGAACGTAAAGCTCATCAGCCAAACAAAAGCATCTTTGAAGGATAAATATCAGAGTCTCCAAAAAAAAATTTGTGGATAATCATAAACTCCTTTTGTCATACTTATTATTCTTTAGCATATGCCCCTATACCCCATCTCTCTTTCTCCTGTTTGTCTTATTCGTCCTCCTTTTGTCCCAATTTGGCACCTCTCCATTGAAGATCAACCACCTTTTGGCTTCATTATATCATAGAACCCTGGAAGTCTTCTCCCCAGACATAGGAACTTTTTTTTTTTTGTTTTGTTGTTTTATGTTCTTAGAACCCTGCCGTGCTAGGTTTGATTGCCAAGAAG